CACAGACACGTGGAGATCGTCCGTGTCGGTATATGGACCTCGCGAGTCCCCCATGGATCATGAACTCTCGATATATTTCCGAGGAGTATCATGTATATACGGTTGAGTGTGTACTGGGTATTCTGAGAGAATTCATTACATGGTGTTATATTGCATTGCATTTCATCGCATCATTTATTTTGATGATTATGTGTTTTGTTTGGCGTTTGGAAAATACTTGGTGTTGATTACCTTTATTGATGAAACCTAAATAGTGAGTGTAATATATATATATATATATATATATATATATATATATATATATATATATATACACACACACACACACACACTTATATAATGTATGATTTTTTTTTATAAACTCCCCTCACTACTTCTTCGTTGTCGGTCAATGAAACATACTGGGTACAAGTGGTTTCGTACTCATACTACGCTTGTTGCACTCTTTGTGGTGCAGATTCAATTCCGAGTAGGAGCACATCTTGTGGAGCAAATTGAGTCCGTCTTGAAGTTCTTGGAGTTGTGGTGAGCTGCTTGGCTGTTCCGAGGCCCACACCTCCCTCTATCTTTACGTATTCTGTTATTCAATATTCAGACAGGATATCCCTTAAGTTATATTTGTCATTTTAGTTTCAGACTTGCATCGTATTCTAGAAGCTCTTGTACTTGAGACACTAATTCTTGGGGTGATATATTTTAGCTTCCGTATTTCGTACTTATAAGGAACTCAATGTTGGAGATTCTTGCTAAGTGTTAGTCTTTTTTTTACTCATTTGTTGGTTTAGTTGGGTTAATATGTTGGGTTGGCTTACCTATTGGTTGGGAACATAGGTGCCATCACGACTTGAAAATTTGGGTCGTGACAAATTTGGTATCAGAGCCCTAGATTCATCGGTCTCAAGAGTACAAGAGCAATGTCTAGTAGAGTCTTGCGGATCGGTATGAAGACGTCCATACCTATCTTCGAGAGGCTATAGGACATTTAGGAAATATTCTGTTCTTTTATTCATTATCGTGCACACTTGACCTTGTAGAAATTCTAATCTTGATATCTCATTCTCTCTCAGATGGCGAGGAATCGTACATCGGCAAGTGGTGGTCAGGATCCTATTCCTGCGCCTGCTTCTGGGAACACTGTCCGAGGTAGAGGTAGGAGACGAGCTCGAGGTCGGGGTAGGGGCCGTGTTGCAGCACCTGTGGATGTTCAAGTACCAGTAGCTACCCAGGGTCATGATAGGACCGTACCACCTGATGCAGAGGTTATTCATAGGGATGTGCAAGATTGTGTCGAGGGGGATGGGCCAGCTCAGGCTCCAACCAGTATTATTGTCCCCCAGTGCTTCAAGATACCCTGGCTCGTATGTTAGGAATCCTAGAGGGGATGACCCAGGCAGGAGCTTTGCCTGTCACTTCTGATGGCTCACAGATCCGTGTTGGAGGTCAAACTCCAGATTCGATAGTTGCACCAGATTCTCAGACTCCCAGGACTCAGCCAGCTGCCGCTATAGCTCCTCGTTT